CTGGTTCTTTCTCCATGTTGCGTTTCATCTCCTCCAAGCCTCTGATCTTGGACCCTGTGTGGAAGAAGTGCTGTTGGTATTCCAGTCACGCATTTCACACCTGGTGGTGAGGTACCTGGCTTATCCCCAAGGTTTCCCCTGCTACTATTCCCTTACATTTATACATCTTATCATTTGAATCTGTGTGATTGCAAATTGGGGTTTTAAATAATGCTGATATTCAAGGTAAAGTAACTAGTTGTAGACATTTGTATCAGTCATAAGGCTGGTAAAAATCAAGTGTGTCGTGAAATCTGTACTTCATCCCCATAAAGAATGATTTACAGATTTGGATGTTACAAAACAACTCTCCTACATAAGTGTTTTTATATGATTTAAAATGACTCTGTCTGGGATTAACAACACTAGAGGGCTATTGCATAAAATGACAGATACAAACACATTTGGTAATCAGAAACAGAAAGAGCATTTGATTTTGCGCATCTTTTAAGCCCTGTTTCCACCAGCCCTACTCTGCTCGATTCTACCTCTATCTGGTATGCGTATCTATTACGCTTTTAAATCTAGTACCCAGATCCTTGCAACATAACCGCAACAAACCAGTATCCAGAGAAATTTCCACATGCAGCAAGTCAGTTAGAATACTCAGTGCCAGCTCGGTCCTGGATCCTGAACCAGAGTAGTAGTAGAGTAGAGTAGAGTAGAGTAAGTAGAGTAGAGTAGAGTAGAGTAGAGGTAGAGTAGGGGCGGGTAGAGTAAGGCCAAAATAGTGCTGTGGAAACAGGGCTTATGGTATCAAACCTCAAAAATGTAGAGTTTACTACAATACATCCAAACAGTAATTTTGCCAATAGTTGAAAACATTTATAATGACAAAATACCTCATTGGCAAATGAGAAGTGACCTAGGGTTCGTTTAATGTAACATAAAAAATCTAAATCATCATTTTTATATATTGGCCCCTTGGCCATCGTTGGGAGAGTGTTTAGGAAGCCCGGGCCCATTGTAACCTATAGTTCAATTTTTCTATATAACATGGTGGTGATAATGTTATTATAATGTTTAACATTCCTACCACGAACACTTCGCAACGTGAGGACACATGCCGGAAGGGACTTTAGTAAAGGAGTGAGCCAATCAAAGAGCTGTCTGTCCGAACCGGAACGTCAGAACCAAGATTTGAGGCTTGAAAATAGAATAATGGGATACTCTGAGATATGTCATTATTACCTAAAAGTAAGCAATACAAAATCACAAGCAACCATAATCCATTGAACTACTGCATCCGTCATCCCTGCTCCTGGGCTCCTGGAAGAAGCCAGAAAATTCAAACAGGAGGTGAGTCAGGGAAAAATCACTCGCACAAAGCAAAAGCCAGACCAGTTTGATCCACAAATAAAATTAGAGACAAAAACTATTTGCCATGACAGGCTGAGATGGAACAACCTTTTAACAGGTCCTCTCCGCGAGCTCCCCGGAAAGTGTTTTTTTTCAAAGCTGTTTTCAGTAATAAATGAAATGCGATTTGAAGTGAAGTTGTGGACTACTTTTCTCCAGCAAAATAGTTAACTGCTTTTGCCTTGAGTGCAATATTCTACCGTTTTACCATTCCCTGAGAAAATACAGGAGGAGCATTTTCAAGCAATTGTTGTTGGCCATAAAATATATTGATAATTTGAAAATACTGCGTGCAACTTTAATGCCTACAGGTTCTCAAGTCCATCAATCATGTTTTTGGTAAAGCCCAAAACCACAACACTATTGTCTCTGAGACTATTACAAAGTTGGTGGATTTCCTCAACAACAATCCAGGATAAAACTGTGCTCCCAGAAAATGCAATATACCCAACAACCTTGGAGCCCTTGGTCAATTGGGAGGTGCGTAATGACCACTGACCATAAATGTGAAACTTGACTTTTGCTTCTATTTTATATGTCTTCTTCTAATGTCGCTGGGGGGGGGAGGAGAGAGAAGAAAAGATAAGGGCAAAAAGTTGCTGACCAAGGATAGATTCCAGACAAAGCAGGTAAAAACAAAAGAAAGACCTGGTACCGGGTTAAACAGGGGCCAGGTGGAAAGGCTCCCCCAACGGTACTGAGTAGAGTATAGATAGGGCCGAAATTGGGGCTGTAGGAAAGAAGGCTATAAAGCATCAAAACTACAAAAATTACTTAATTTCATAATTTTTTATAAATGTTGCGTGATGAACCTAGACTATTATTACAGACTGCTATCCAATGTTTCACACACTACTTATTTCTTTAGTGGGCCTTTCCACTCACTCACACGAGATGGGAGCGAGTTGGCCATACTTGAGGCGCTGCTAGACCTAATTGTACAAGTTTGAATGGTGGGGAAACCGGAGCACCCAGAGGTGACACAGGGCAAACAACAAACCCGCACAGAAAATAAATTCATATATTATTGATGTCTGATTTTGAATACTTTGCTGATATGTGTCTTTAATAATCCAGCAATAAGCCACAAACACATAAGATATTACCTGAAGTTCATGACCGTTCTCAATTGACCCCCGACAGAGAGAAGCGTTGTTCACTGCACTAACATAATTCATCAGCTTGAGTCGAAGATCCCCAATTCAACATCTGTAGAAATCAGGACAGTAAACCGCAACACAGCCACAGAGAGCGCACCTGCACACGTGTATTGCATCTCTTTCAACAGCTCACCGGGTTTATTGACAGTGACATAAATGTATAGCAGGATCAAGCCGCTCACAGCTGCTGGACGCGGGAGCCGCTGTCCAAAGTGGCTGCAGCTGTCCCAGAACGCTGCGGACTCCCATTCACAGCAATTGCCCCGCGGTCACGCGCGCGGGGTGCCAGTTACTTGGCACATACATTAAAAGCGTTAATTTTTTAAACGCAATTAATGAAAACAATTAATTAACGCACGTTAACGCGATAATTTTGACAGCCCTATTTTTAGTTGATCGATGTGTCAATTGTTTACGGCTTTGTTTGTTTTATTCTTGAACTTTTAATCTTGTTTTATTCATGAACTTGTCTTGTGCACACTGGGGACTTTTACAAATGTATTCCAATGTGATTTTACTGTGATTTTACTGCAAATGGCAAATAAATGAATATGAATCTGAATCTGAATTGAATAATGCTAGCATGCAGTCATCACAGCTATGCAATAATAGTATAGATAATTACTAAATTAAGGATTACTTTGACCCTGTGTTCCCCGGGGTGTCCTTTGGGGGGGTTCTCCGGGGTCCTCTGCTGAGGGCTGTCCGGTCCCTGTATGACCGGAGCCAGAGCTGTGTTCGCATTGCCGGCAGTAAGTCAGACCTGTTCCCGGTGCAAGTGCATGTGCACTTTGTCACCGGTTCTGTTCACTGTGTTTATGGACAGAATTCCTAGGCGCAGCCAGGGGTCGGAGGGGGTCCGGTTCGGGGGACCACAGGATTTAATCTCTGCTGTTTGCGGACGATGTTGTCCTGTTGGCTCCAACAAACCAGGACCTGCTGCATGCACTGGGGCGGTTTGCAGCCGAGTGGGAAGCGGCTGGGATGAGAATCAGCACCTCCAAATCCGAGGCCATGGTGCTCGACCGGAAAAAGGTGCCTTGCCCTCTCCAGGTGGGTGGAGAGGTCCTTCCTCAAGTGGAGGAGTTCAAGTATCTCGGGGTCTTGTTCACGAGTGACGGAAGGATGGAGCGTGAGATTGACAGGCGGAACGGTGCAGCGTGCGCAGTGATTCGGTCGCTGTATCGGACCGTTGTGGTAAGGAGGGAGCTGAGCCGAAGGGCAAAGCTCTCGATTTACCGGTCAATCTTCGTTCCCTCCCTCACCTATGGTCATGAGCTTTGGGTAATGACCGAAAGAACGAGATTGCAGATACAAGCGGTAGAAATGAGCTTCCTCCGCAGAGTGGCTGGGCGCTCCCTTAGAGATAGGGTGAGGAGCTCAGTCACACGGGAGGCGCTCGGAGTAGAGCCGCTGCTACTCCACGTCGAGAGGAACCAGTTGAGGTGGCTCGGGCATCCGTTCCGGATGCCTCCTGGACGCCTCCCTGGGGAGGTGTTCCGGGCACGTCCCACCGGGAGGAGGCCCCGGGGAAGACCCAGGACACGCTGGAGGGACTATGTCTCTCAGCTGGCCTGGGAACGCCTTGGGGTCCCCCCAGACGAGCTGGAGGAAGCGTGTGTGGATAGGGAAGTCTGGGCGTCTCTGCTTAGACTGCTGCCCCCGCGACCCGGCAACAGATAAAGCGGAAGAAAATGGATGGGTGGAAAACAAAAACAGCATCTCTTACCTGGGAGATACACACATGAAAGTGTTTGACTCTATTTTATTAAAACCATTTACACCAATATTTTCACCATACACAAATTGATATCAGCTCTATATAGGTTATCGCCTCCTTAACAACTAATTATCTGTATCAGCCTTGAAGAAAATCAACCTCTAATCATTGTTATACATTCTGAGTTCTCAATATTGATCGAAGACAATTTAACAAAAGGAACAGGTTCAATGACTTTGCTTTGACTGCACTGATAATGGATATTGTAATGTTTTACATAGAAGTTCACAGCAGTGGGCAATAGTTCCCCACTGTGGGACGAATAAAGGAACTCTTATCTTATCTTGTCTTGTGTATCACAGAATGAGACACACATTTTGAATCTGCAGAATCCATAGAGAAGATAATGTGTAAACAGAAAATGTGGTGGGATTAATTAAACACATTCTCTTCTACTCACTCTTTCAGGCAAAATTTATGTTGATTTTTTTTTACAGATACGTATTTTTACGTTTAATAACATCTGTGTTAACTGGAATAAATATATAAATAAATGAAAGTTACAAACACGGGGCGAGATGTCGGGGCATTAGAGCAGTATTGTCTAGAAAACAAAATAATACAATACTATGAATCACGTTTTATACAATTAGAGTCTGTAAATGCGAGGGAAACAATAACAACATGATTTCACATGTGATTGTTTGTGTTGTTTTGTGCAGATTTTGATTCCGTATGAAAACCGCACCAGTGAATCCATGTACAACAAACACACAATCTCACATCTACAGAAGGCCATTCCACAGGTGAGTACAAACTGTAACTACATTTTAACATCAACTGCACTGTAGAGAGTATTGGAATAATTTACATGTACTTACAGTTTGATTGGTTGGGTTTCGTGAAAGCCGTGATGGAGGCCTCTGGACATTACACCGTCACTTCATCAGAGTTGGTCATCGTCAGAGCCCCACTTTATTTCAAAGAGCTTTTCAAACTCATCGAGGCCACAGAGCCAAGGTACACCTACAGACTCAAATAAAGCTAAAACAATATTCCAAAGGCGCTCTTCAGTGGCTACTATCTCGAGAGAAGATTATGCCAAACGAGAGAATATTATGCCAAAAAACATTTAATTTCAAGAGATGCTCATTTTACTTTTCAGTCCACTTGAAATATATAGTGAAGTAAAGGTTTAAAAAGTGACGCTATCAAACTTTTCATTATTTACATTTCTGACAGAAGTAATGCCTACTGAGTATCACCTCTTCCAGATCTAGATTTACATTTATATTTGTCATTTATATTTGTCACCCTTGTTAACCTGCAAAAGGATCAGTGAGGGACTGGTGCTATGAGCATTGGGTGGATGAATGAAAGAATGAATTAAAATAAATGTAGTATCCAAAAAGCTTAAAAAAATACATTCAACATTCAAACCTACTCAATATTGGTTCTATTGGATCGCAAAGAGACTGGTAGTGATGACTCCATCAAGAGCTTAAAAAACCCCCTTCCAGCCGCAATTGAAACACGGACAACAACATAAGAATGAAACGTTCCATTCAAATACTGAACATGTAAATCACCTTAAAATAAACATGGGCATGAACAAAAATACGCTTTTACTGTGAAAATTAACAGGAGTTCATTAATGTTCCGCCCATCATTGCTAACACAATCCAATCCATTACAATCCAATTCTTCATATAGGATATAATATATATAGATGTGACCGTGATCATGGCAAAGGGGGGAGTAATGCTTTACATTAAGGACAGTTTCCAGTGCTCTCGGCCTACCTGAAACAGTAGGGGATGCCTTGGAATGAGTGGGAGTGACTGTTCGACTGTCTCCTGAGATGTCTTTTTCTGTCATCGTCTTATATAGACCTCCTTCAACCAATAATGTTTTTTTTGACCATCTTGGTGATATTTTGAAGAAATATAACTCAAAAGAGGTCCTTCTTGTGGTGGATTTTAATATCAATTGGATAGATAAACAAGGCAGAAGAAAATTAAAAGAAATTACCCATACATTTAATTTTACACAAATTATTGAGAAACCCACTCGAATTAAAACACTTAGATTTAATTTTTACAAACAAAACTGACCGTATCACAAAAGTGTAAAATTTAAAGTGATAGTCTGTAACTCTAAATGAATTACAAATTTTAGGAAATGTGTTAAATTGACCTCCTGGCCTTAAATGTTGATATAAAATAAGTCATTTTATTAATTCTAATATTACGGGCAAGTCCCGCCTTCCCTGCTCTTAGCTATAGTTCAGAATCCACGGTGCCGTCGAGGTTAACCAATCGAGTCATGCCAAGGGCTGTCAATCATCGGCGCTGATGCTCGCAGCTGCGCGCATGCGCAGTTGTTTGTTTTCGCGGAGCCTCCGAATCAAGCCTCTATTAGGCTCTGGAACAACATGAAAACTGAACAAAGAATTCTGAACATCCGCGCTGAGTTACTTATGTATATTCTGAACATATATCCATAATCAGATCCTCTGCAGATGTGTCCTATAATGTGCAATTCATGATAATAGCACTTCCTGGTTTGCTGCGATCGCTTTTTTTGTGCATAGAAACATTATTTTTTTCATTAAAACGTTCACAAATCATTCTGAAAACCTCCGTGCATGTGTATTAATAATGTATAATATGTTTTCTGATTAACATTTCAAAGTGTTACGGAAACGTAGGTGTAGACCAATCAGAAAAGAAGGGGGGAGGGAGCTTGCGTCGTTTTTTTCAAATCAAGTACCTCTCTGTCTTTCTTTCTGACAAACTCCAGACAATCACTTTAATAACAGGCCTATTTGACCATAATTTGAGACTAGTTTCTAGGAAACTGTCGAAAGCACGTTATAAAAATGTACATCTAATAGAATCGAATGACATTGTGTCGTACATCCCAAGGAAAAATATTGAGCCATTTGATGAGGAAATAAGGCAAATTAATTGGAGTGAAATTATTGAATCTATAGACTGTAACATGTTATCCCATGACTTTATAGAAGTGGTTCAGCAAATGATATCTAAATATTCAAAAGTAAGAAAGATAAAGCGGAGTGGGGGGACTCCCCTGCCTTGAATGAATGATTCAAGAAACAGTACTTTTAACCGATCGATTAGCATATAATGGACTTCGAAACAAAGTCACTCAGGTTTTTAGAAAAGCTAAGCCGACATTTATTCCTAATATAATTAAACAGGTAAAGGGAAGTAAAAAAAAAGTTGTGGCAAACAATAGATAAAATTACTGGAAGAGGAAAACCAAAGTGCAAGACCATAAAGCTCAAAATAGGCGGAACTTTTATTCAGGATGGTTCTGTTGAAGAGCACCTAAGCAATTATGTCACAGATTCAGGCCTCATTACTGTGTTCTCACCACTTCCACCCATCTCCAGCTCTGCTCTAAAATTTCACAGTATTAATTATGCTAAAACAGACAAAATAATACAATTGTTGTTAAGCTCTAAGGCCAAAGATTACTGGGGACTTGACAGCACCCTCATAAAAAACACAGGGAGTCTCTAACAACTAGGGCCGGGCGATAAAACAATATTGATTTATATCGCAGAAGCTTGCGGCATTCTGGGGGATGTAGGCAAAGGCTTCTCGACCCATCACGGCCGAGTATGAACCGCAAAACATTCTGGGAAATGCAAAAGCAACAACCGCACCATGCGTCCATGGATCTATAGATCGTGTTTCAATGCCCGTGTCAATAGTTATGCACGTCCGTGTGAGGAATAGCATGTGTGGCGTGGGAGAGGCAGTGGACACAGAGACCCGATGCATTCAGCGAAAGCAAGAGATGATCTTTTTCCTCTGGAAGCACATGCAGCTCTCTGATAGCTGCACAGAGCCATCACGGGAAACTCGAAAACAGCCAAAACAGGAGCTAAACCAGGATTAACAATGGGGGACTCTGTGCAAGGCTTCTAACATGTGTTAGCCGACCCAACAAATGTATTTGTTACGTTTTTAAAAAAACAAAAAAACAATCAATATATACAGTATACGAAAGTATTCGGCCCCCTTGAACCTTTCAACATTTTGCCACATTTCAGGCTTCAAAACTAAGATGTAAAAATCTAATTTTTTGTCGAGAATCAACAACAAGTGGGACACAATCGTGAAGTGGAACGAAATTTATTGGATAATTTAAACTTTTTTAACAAATAAAAAACTGAAAAGTGGGGCGTGCAATATTATTCGCTAATACTTTGTAGCGCCACCTTTTGCTGCAATTACAGCTGCAAGTCGCTTGGGGTATGTCTATCAGTTTTGCACATCGAGAGACTGGAATTCTTTGCCATTCTTCCTTGCAAAACAGCTCGAGCTCAGTGAGGTTGGATGGAGAGCGTTTGTGAACAGCAGTCTTCAGCTCTTTCCACAGATTCTCGATTGGATCATTGTCCTGTTGGAAGATAAATCTCTGTCCCAGTCTCAGGTCTTTTGCAGACTCCAACAGGTTTTCTTCCAGAATGGTCCTGTATTTGGCTCCATCCATCTTCCCATCAATTTTAGCCATCTTCCCTGTCCCTGCTGAAGAAAAGCAGGCCCAACCCATGATGCTGCCACCACCATGTTTGACCGTGGGGATGGTGTGTTCAGGGTGATGAGCTGTGTTGCTTTTACGCCAAACATATCGTTTTGCATTGTGGCCAAAAAGTTTGATTTTGGTTTCATCTGACAAGAGCACCTTCTTCCACATGTTTGGTGTGTCTCCCAGGTGGCTTGTGGCAAACTTTAAACAAGACTTTTTATGGATATCTTTGAGAAATGGTTTTCTTCTTGCCACGCTTCCATAAAGGCCAGATTTGTGCAGTGCACGACTGATTGTTGTCCTATGGACAGACTCTCCCACCTCAGCTGTAGTTATCTGCAGTTCATCCAGAGTGATCATGGGCCTCTTGGTTGCATCTCTGATCAGTCTTCTCCTTGTTTGAGATGAAAGTTTGGAGGGACGGCCGGGTCTTGGTAGATTTGCAGTGGTCTGATACTCCTTCCATTTCAATATAATTGCTTGCACAGTGCTCCTTGAGATGTTTAAAGCTTGGGAAATCTTTTTGTATCCAAATCCGGCTTTAAACTTCTCCACAACAGTATCTCGAACATGCCTGTTGTGTTCCTTTGTCTTCATGGTTCTCTCTGCGCTTTAAACAGAACCCTGAGACTATCAAAGAGCAGGTGCATTTATACAGAGACTTGATTACACACAGGTGCATTCTATTTATCATCATCAGTCATTTAGGACAACATTGGATCATTCAAAGATCCTCACTGAACTTTTGGAGTGAGTTTGCTGCACTGAAAGTAAAGGGGCCGAAAAATATTGCACGCCCCACTTTTCAGTTTTGTATTTGTTAAAAAAGTTTAAATTATCCAAACAATTTCGTTTCCACTTCACGATTGTGTCCCACTTGTTGTTGATTCATGACAAAACATTTAAATTGTATATATATCTTTATGTTTGAAGCCTGAAATGTGGCGAAATGTTGAAAGGTTCAAGGGGGCCGAATACTTTTGCAAGGCACTGTATGTTCACCTGCCCAGGGACTACAGATGGAAAGTAGCTGCAGCTAAATTTGGTGCAAACCATCTCTTCTTTTGTAAAGACTAATGGTTTTTGTACATTGTCCCTGTTTTATTAAACTAATGCTTTGTTAGCATTTTTATAAAAGTTAGCCTTCCTCCGTGGGTTTTTACCTGATCTGCTTGGTTCGGACCATGAATTCTCTCTGCTCCAGTCTGTTTCTGCAGTACAATGTAACACCATGAACACTGTACTGCAGCAACATCTCAGGCAGAAAAAAGCCAAACAAACCAAAAATTTGTAAAGCACAAAACAACGGTGTTGGGCACGTTACTTTGAAAAAGTAATTAGTTATAGTTACTTCTCCCAAAAAGTAACTCAGTTACTAACGGAGTTACTCCACTATAAAAGTAACTAGTTACCAGTAAAAGTAACAATTGCGTTACTTTTTCGTTTTGTTCTGGAAC